TGAGGGTTGAATTTGTGTCACTCCATATATTTAGTGATGAGGGAAATTAAAAATCAGAGACCCTAATTCCCCAGTGGTTTAACAAAATGACTGAATATTCATTCTTATTTATGGACATGATTATTTTGAAATCCTAGTGACTGGCATCTTAGAAAAAGGTGGTTTGCTTTGAGTAAGTTTTTGGGTATACATTTTGGATAATTTCAAAATATTTTGAGTATAAAGTTTTACGTCATATAGTATTAATGATTATGAATGTATGCATCTATGTATGTTTCATTTTATATGTTACATTTCATTTAACCTGTAAACTGGATACTGAACAGCTTCTGAGAATTATTTTTTCTTGGCATCCTTTAGAGACTGATTCTACATAAACGCATATTTTAAAAAAGCATTTCTTTTACACATCATGTGGTGCTTTTTTATTCAGTTAAATGTATATTTCTATTTAAATGAAAGGGATACGATTCTTAAATATATGTATCATTATGATTGGTTTCTTCTATCAAGAATATTTTTGAAATTTATATACAGATGCGTATTGTCTGAAATTGCTGTCATTTCTTTTGTTGTATTGAGTACTGTTTGTGTTAAGCAAAATTATCATTGCTCAAGATGATGATTTTACTGTACGATTCCCTAAATGTAGACTTTACTTTTTTCCAGAGTAACTTGAAAATAGTGGAATAGCATGTTGTGCACGTGCATGAGAACTCAAGGCAATCAACTTAAAAAATCTGAAGCATTGAAAAAGGAAATTGGTTTATTTATTGTTGCAACTTTAAGTAGTTGGATTTAGAACATTAAACTGACTAGCGCATACATTTTAAAAGCAAGAAAGTCATTGAATTGTTTAAGGAAAGGTAAAAAAAACTTAGGTCATTGCATTGGGCACCTTCACATCTAATGTTTTTTCTATGTGCGGCTTTCAGTTTTTGACTCATGCTGTAATAAACGTATGGCAGGATTTTATCACAAACTACTTAAAAAAACAATTTTTTCTTAGAAGCGCTTGCAAGTTGCGCAGCGTCTATTCAAATTAATTTGAAATATATCATCTTTGTTGTAATTTACACCCATATGGGGAGAAGGATTCCATGGAACAGGGATATTGGAGTATTAGTTTTATTTGTCACTCTTTGTTGGGGTGTTTTTACAGGATGCCTCCTGTCACTTGCATCAGTATCTTTATGTTTTGAATAGTTTTTTTCCTGCTCTCAACTTGAATATGTCTGAACTTTTCAGAAGGTTACTCACACTATAAGTCATTTAAATGGAACCATGCAAGTGGATTGAGCACATTTTTAGGGTAAAAGAATGTTTGTGTACCATTTTGATGTGGTAAAACGATGCTGTTTAGTTATGAGGGCTACTTGTGATATTTCAGGGAATCAAACAAAAATCTGTATGTACTATTTTGTCCAACTATTTCCCTGAAATGTTCTGTACTACTAAAAAGGTGTCCAGTCATTACACAGATGAATTTACCTTAATCAAATTATTGGTGTTAGTTTGTCTTAAATGGAACTCTACTTCCGAGTTCCTTTTTGCTTTTTATATTATTCTTCCATTGTCCTTAAAAACCCAGGATGTTATTTAAACTCTGTTAGTGAGCATTCTGATTGAATGAATGTTTGTGGCAAATTGTAAATAAATATACCTTTCGGCAGATGTAGACATGATTTTAGCTGCTATATCAAAATGTTTCCATTTTGGTATTCAAACTAGTCTTATTAAAAGATTGTCAGTGAGGAAGTCAGCACAAGTAACAGGAAACAAATCTAATCACGTTTCACGATAAGTAGCTTGTAAACTGTGGAATTGTAGGTCTTAATTTGTCAACAAAGAATAAATAAAGATTATTAAAATAAAATTATGGCATTTAGAAGTAATAGAACTGAAAGGCAAAAATGTATTTAATACAAGTCAGGGCTAATTCTAAACAAAATATATTGTAGGATATTGTCTGTAGTTTAAATTGGTATATTTGTAGTTTAAATTGGTATAGGCCAAAATACCTACATGTTGTACAATTCATTATCCAAACATGGGTGAAGCTCACTTAATTTAAACATTTTACCATGGTATATAGTTTAGGTTTTTTTTCCTGTATTAATTGAATGAAGTTGATTTCACTGTGTAATTGTAACATTATAAAACTTTTTCCATTTATAGGTCGAATACACACATTATACTGATGGTGTTTTTGTGTGATGCTTAGTAAACTCATTCTGAAGTGAAAAAAACATGTATTATCTGTGCCTATCACAAGTCACTTTAAGTAAAACATATTCCTTGATTTTTCTGTTTGTACAATATATGTTACAGTACAAACTGACCAATAAACTGCCATTTATGTCTATTACTGTTACAATTTGATTCTGATTTTCAATTACTTTGAAAAGTAAAGGTTGGTTTAGTCTTTCATAATGCCAGTGTGCTTACACTTTCCAGGAAGTAAAAGCGTTAAAGATCAACAAATTATATCAGACATACTTGATTGAAATCAAGAGCTTGGCCCCTTACAAGAACCTGTGAGTGTGTCATAATGATTAAAATATCAGGAATAAATGGGGACCTTGTTATAATTGAATTTTATATGCACTTTCATAGTATATTTGTTTAAATATATCACTATAACAAATGTATTTGGCAGGTGGCTTTATATAATGAAATCTGAAACAATTTGGCCATTTCTTTTGGCAGTGCATCTACTTATGATGATCTTTATTGCCTTTCTTTTGTATCCATCAAGCATGTTAATGATGTGTGGAAATTTGACAAAACTATATATAACCAGGTGATTTATTAGCAGCGTTATCCTAATACTTAATGAGGTGCTGCAAACATTCCTTAGGGATTCTGGCCATGTTGCCATTATCGAAACACTTAACTGCTGCACATTCATGCTGCAAATTTGCCCTTCTACCATATCCCAAAGGTGCTCTGTTGGGCTTCCATCTGGTGACCACCACACGAAGCATGAACTCTTGGAAGAAGGTAGATTGGGTCTATGGGTGCACTCTGCCAGATTCCAAGCTTACCATATGCACATTGCAGCAGAAGCTGAGATCCAGGATGATCTTTCCAACTGCCCACTGCAGCCTTAACTTTCTGGTTTTGGCTGACAGGAGTGGAACCTGATATGGTCTTCTGCTGTTGCAGCCCATCTACCTCAGGGTTCGACGTGCTGTGCGTTCTGAGATGTTTTTCTGTTCACCGCAGTTGTACAGAGTAGTTGTCTGAGTTACTGTAGCCTTTCTGTGAGCTCGAACCACCCTGGCCATTGTCTGCAGACCTCTCTCAACAAGGTGGGTCCACCCACAGAACTGTCACCCACTAGATATTTTTCGTTTTTTTTTCCACAACATTCTTTGTAAGCTCCAGAGACTGTTGTGTGTGAAAATTCCATATCAGCTGTTTATGAAATACTAACCACACAATATGCCACCAAGACCCATGCCACTGTCAAAATCACCGAAATTTTCCCCATTGTGATGTTTCAGTTGATCATTAACTAAAACTCTTCACCCTTATCTGCATGCTTTCATGTATTGAGCTGCTGCCACATGATTGGCTGATTATACATTTGCATATATATGATGGCGCCGCGAGGTTGGTCGGCAAGACCAATTGTGCACTTTACCGACATGCCTTGCACGGCACCGCGCGACGCGAAAATATGTGCGTTATATGTGGCAACCACGTGACAGGAAAAATGCTAAACAAATTACTGTGCATCAATTAAGATTAAAAAGTCGAGTGATCAGTTACTGCGTTAAAGAGTCATTCACAAACATCAGAATAGATTTTTAAAGTATAGTACAATAAATTGCCAATTATGCGCATTACATAATTGAACCGTCAGTTTGACTACCACAACAGAAACGACGAAAATCTATCATATACCGTTAGTAAGAGCTGATTTAAGAGCAGTCCCGCCTACTTTCATGTCTGTGAGGGTTGGTGCTAGTTCTAAACTAAGGATACATGTGGGATCGGGAGCATGCAGTGATACATATTACGTTGGTAAGACACGTTCTTATAGTCGTTGTATTGTCTGAAGTCCGTTTGGGAATCGTGTCAGTTGTGTAAGATATGATTAATGTGTAGCACCGGTGAATTATATAATGCTCATTCAGATGCCTTGTGTGGCGGAGTAATGGCGGGCTTTGCGCAACGTGGGGGAATAGGTGTTGTCTGACTTTAGCCACGAAGGTGTCTTAATTCGATCATTCGGACGAAGCCAAAGGGAGAAGGGGGGAGGATAATCTAAAACGTTTTACTAGTTATTAGTGAAAATGCATGTCATACATAAAGACTATGCATATGCACTGAACACACTGACTTAACCAAATTTAGAATGCGAATGTTTAATTATACTATCTAGAAATAGATTGCATTTTTATAGAGCTGTTCGCAGTCTAGTGCAATCATGTTGCAGAAATGTACGCATAATTACAACAGTTGAAAACGATGTGTAGTACAGTATACCTTATTGTTGAGAACCATTAAGCTTTAAAGCGAAACGTATTTATTTAGTGAAATGTCCCTTTCTTGGGTATATACTGAAACTGTGGTTCCGATGTAGAGAGTTTGTTGTTGCGTGACATGCCAGTTTTTTTTTTAGTAAATCTAGTTCAATTTTTGTAGCGTAACTCAATAAGTATTGTCAAAGACTCTTAAGCATGACTCACGACCCGCGAAGCTGGGTGAGAATATTGAACAGGAACTGTGAGGAAATGACTAGATTAGTAATTTATTTTTAACAAAACGCTGTACCAAGTTTGTAATTTCTGAAGAACTTGTGTTGTTTAAAGCATTTTGTTATACGCGTGTTTTACGTTTGATTCTCCTGTTAATGTAACATCTTTAGTAGTTTTATTAGGTACATAAAACTGATCGGTAACAATTACTGTTACAGGAAAAAAACAGCAGGAGTTTGCTATGATTATAATTTAATTAATATAATTTGCGAGTTCGAAATAGTTAAAGAAATTTGCCTCGGGACGTTAAGTTCCATTTTGGTACTTTATATCACAGTCAGACTCAAGTGGAAACAAACCTCTGGCACCAAACCAATTGGGGGTCTTTTCTCGGCGAGCTGGTCTTGGCGTTATCCGCGACGTGCCTGCTCCGCGAGCTTTCCGCCAGCCGCCCGGCGGACCAATCAGAGCGCAGTATTGTAAAAGCAGCCTATTTGCCGCAAAGCTGAAACTGCTGCAAAAGTGCTGCTTTAAAGGCGCAGCTCCAATTCAGTTTCATCTTTGCCAGAAGTATTGACAATTAATACCTTGCCGTCATTTTTGAAAAGGTATATATTTTGTCTTTCCAAGGTAATAAGTAAGTGTATCTTAATCTTGATTGGTGACATTAAAATTAAACATATCTAATGACAAATGCACTATTTTGAAAGGGCTAGATGTCTACCTCCGTGTTGCCAAATAACGTTTTCCTAGCTGTCGTGCTAACTAACGTTTACTTATGGTTCTCCAAAACTGGCTTTTCACTTCGACTTAACACAAAGAAAATAATGATAGCAAATCGTTAGAAGGGTGATGAATTGGTAATAATTCAGTTCCAAATGAACTGAGTTTAGTTTTGTGATTTACATATAGCTTATTACAAACCGACTTCTAGCTAGGGGCCTGTGGAAGGACTGGCATTTTCTATTAATTTGTCCCAGCAATTGCACAATAGTAACCGAATGCTAGAGATTTTTTTCTTCCCCAAACATTTTATGTTTTTCGCCCCACGGTAATAGACGTAATGTTGGCTGTTTTGCCACATGGATTAGAAAGTATTTTAAATGTGTATTTTATTCAGCATCTCATGTTTATGAATTCTTTTTAAATGTAAAAGTATAACTTTGCACCATTATGAACCCTTATGAATGAGACAAATCTCAGTGAAACTTTGTGTCCCCACGAACCAACCATGAATTGTCATGTTCCAGTTTAGTTAACGTACAAGGATGTGATGTACAGCAGACCACTCCAGAGATTATTTTGCTGTCCCTGTCTGAGAGAAAGAGACGGGACAGGAATTTAAGTATATTGTTGGACCCAAGTTTACTGGAACTTTCTACAACCCAAGTGAAAGATTTCTACAGCAGAGTGATTCGTAAGCATTCCCTCAGATTTCTGGGAATTGAATGTCAGCAAACAAGGAAAAATGGATGGTTTGTCACTGAAGGCTAAGGAATCTGTGAGTGGAAGAATGGATAAATCAGAAGAGGTCAAGATAGGAACGGACACAGAGGAGATGCAACCTGGATCTACAGGGGAATTGGTGAAGCTTTCTGAATGTCAGTCAGATACGCCTTGGACTAGAGGAGAGGCTGAGAATGGGCCCAAGGTAACGAGTGAGATTTCAGCTTTCAAAGGTGCCCCAAAAGATGCTGAATGCAATAAGCTGCTGGAACACATGCAGGAGCAGCTCAGGAAAGATTCCTTACCACTGAGTGAGATTCAGACAACAGAGTCTAATGCCGAGGAACAGCAGATGAAGAAACAGTTTGGGGAGGTTACAGCAGAGGGCAGCATTGAGCCACAGCCAAGCAAAGTCAAGCCAGGAAGAGCAACTGAAGGTATGAAGATCCAAGCTATTTATCTTAATTTTATTTTGAAAAGGGGCTTTTTTAAATGGCCTAAAAGTTTTTGGGTTGAGCACTTATTTTGTTATTTTTTTTAGCTAAGGATCTTCCTGCCACCTGTAGTCCAACTGAAAACGCAACCGCATCTGAAGAAGTACAAGAAAAGCTGGTAAGGGTTTTATTTTCTGTCTTTGATTTGTTATTGAAGTGAATTATCTGCATTAGGGGTAACTATTGTTTTGGTTAGGAGAGTCGGAGAGTTCAGCGCTTGAGGAGAATGGAGTTGAGAAGAGCATCACAGAAATCTTCAGATGGTGGTAAATAACTGCTGAAAAAAGCACATCACTAACATGACACTTTTGTGGTGATTGTGGAAAATCTGTTTTCGCTTATGATCATGGCTCTGTTATTATTCTGCAATTGCAGTTTATCGTGCGTCAGGTGTATCATCACTCAAAAACCTAACTGTTCTGCAGACCAGCTGTCTGACGATGACTCTGACACCATGGTGGACGATCCCAGTGATGTGGATTTCGTCCCACGTGCTGCACGTCGCTCCACCCGAGCGCCGTCACGGAGTCAGAGGACGTGCGAGGCTTTCCCAGCGGTCAGCCAGCCCAGCCTCACTGCCCCTGCTGGCCACGTTGCTATTCCCAAAATCCAGCAGCTGTCCTCCCAGAAGCTGAAACCCTCTCGTTTCCTGCCACATTGCTCACCTCGCCAGTCTGTAAAGATGCACTGTGCTAACTGCCACAACGCCTTGCAGAAGGGCCAGACGGCCTACCAGCGCAAAGGCATGCCTCAGCTCTTCTGCTCTTCTGCCTGTCTTGCTGCCTTTACTGGGAGACCACCTAGGAAAAAGCCTTGTGTGTATTGTAAAAGGTAAACCGTGGTATTTTACACTGTTTGAGAATGTTTTAACATCAGTTCATGCGTATTGTGCTGTTTCTCATTTTTTTTTTTATGTAGACTTTCTGATTTTCTCCATGCAGGGATATCGGGACTGTAAAGGAGACCGTTTTTGCCCAGAATGGGCCATCAAATTCTTTCCAGGAGTTCTGTAACAATGTCTGCCTATCCCGTTATGAGACTCAGAGCCAGAGGTGCTCTGCACTTGTAACTGAGCTGTCTGGTCTGCGATGCAGCATGTGCCACCTGGTGGGAGAGGTGAGGAAGTGCGGCCTTTTGTGCAGACTTTGCTCAGGATTTGCTGGTACACCCTGCGATCCTCAGTGTTCTTCTGGCTTGATTAAGGAATTTAAGTTCACTTTCTTGTTTTCATCCAAAACACAGCATTGTAGGTTTGGGCCTGAGCCCTAAAGAAAACTCCCCAGATGTGATTTTTTTTTTATCTCTCTTCCTATTGGATGGTTTGCTGCTATATTCACTCACCACTCTACCAAAACATTTCAGCGTGTGTGATGAAGCCATGTCCTATCTTGTCCTTTCAAAGGCTTCAATTAGTTAATTGTCTACATCAAACATTCAGATTTAAATAATGTGTTTACTGGGAAAAACCTGGCACAAACTGACCCTTTTCTTCTCCATGACCATCTGTTAGTCATTATGGCATCTGTACAATAAACCTTATTACAAATAAGTAAGCACTTCTAATGGCAAGCTCTGGAAAGCCACACAATGATAGAACTGAGGTATACATTCTTTATAGGAAGCTTGTTGGTGTCGAGATTAGAGTGTAGATTTAGCAACGTGCTGTATATGCCCCATGAAAGACTGCGTTTTTGTTTTTATTGTGTTTATTAGTTTTAATTTAGAAAATTCCATGGATATCTGTGTTTTTGGTTGTCATCCGATTTTCATGCCGTGATGAAAATGAATTTGGATGTTTAGGGCTTGACAAGTTGGCTTCAGTGTCATTTAATTTTTGAGAATTGTAATTAAATACATAATAACATTCAGTGTCGCTGCTCATTGTTCCTAGATCCTTCATGAGGTCAGTAGTGGGAACATGGTGCATCACCTCTGCAGCGATACTTGCTTCAGCCACTTCCGGGCGACCAAGGGCCTGAAGACCAGCTGCTGTGACAGCTGTGGCCTCTATATCTACGCCAAGACCTCGCGTGTTGAGTATCTTCTCCATGAGGGCCAGCAAAGGCGCTTCTGTGACGCCACATGCCTGGCTCAATTCAAAAAGGTCGGTTGTTTTATTTTTTAATCATCGGCAATGTTGTAGTTGTAAATCTGAGTTCACATTGATTTGGAATTTTATTTCTAGGGGTTTACTTCCTGACATCTTACACATTTAGAATTGTGTTGTAGTCTTAATGTTCTGAATAGTTTTGACTCATTTTAATAAATATGGATGGAATAGTGGATATTAATTGTTAATTGATAATAGGGGATACCCTACATTAGTTGCACATATTATGGAATACATAACTCTTCTCGGAGATGAATCTCAAGGGTTTTTTTTAAATTGGGTTCCACTTGTTTTAATAGTACTATTTGGCTTAAATTCTCATCTTTGAAGATATGTATCATATCATTGGTGTATAAATGTGTTATAAGAAGCTTAGCAAACAGTTTTACTAGGGAGTGGCTGTAGCGACCAAAAATGTTATCTCTGTATATTTAGGCAGGGTACTGATGCATGTGATATCTCAGTATTTTCTATGAATTCCAATAAATGCTCACTTGTAAGTAAAAGCTATTGATATACAGTAAAAATTCGTTATACCAACCCGCCTGAAGTTTTACGCTCAATGATGAAGGTGCGGCGTGATTGAGGTCTGACTTTGCAGCTCAAAGGCATCCTTTCTGCTCTCTAATGATGGTTTCTTGCACTGCAGAAAAACACAAAAGTGCTCCCATGCCAGTGGTGCAAGACCTTAAGTAAAAATTTTGACATGCTGTGCCGTGGGGATGTTCATGGAAAGGCGCAGCTCTTCTGCTCCTTGTGCTGCATCACATCTCATAAAGTGAAAACGTCTGGCGATACAGGTACCTCCCGGCTTCGCCTGTCTGGCTCGTCCCCGCGTTGCCATTGGTCACTCATGATGTCATGCTCTTCCCTCTTCCCCAGTCCCCATGCAGCCTTGCAGCTTCTGCCTGCGTGAGCTCGCTGAACCTGCCTATTACTACACAGCCAACAGAGTTATTTACCAGTTCTGCAGCCCCAGCTGCTGGACTAAATTTCAGGTAGGAAAGTTATCTGCTATATGACCATAAGGAACAGCAAGGGTTTTTTTTTTTTTTGTAGAGTGGAATCCCATCAAAATCATTGGCCCCAAGGCAATTCTGTTTGATTACGATTATGAGGGGAACATTTCTATCACGATTATTTTGACAACTTTAAATTCAGGCCTCATTCTTTAACTTTGCTTAAAAAAATTGTAAAACATCATGGGAACTTCATGAAATAGAGTAGAATTTGTTCTTTTTATTTTTTTTATTGTTATTAATCAGTGAGCGTAAGCTGGTGTAAATTGTCAAAAGACCTGCTACTGAACTGTATCGAAAAATAACAGTCTGGTGGTGAAGCTGGTCGAGCTCGCTGGCATGGATTAGCAAATTCACATTACATTGTTTTTTATTCTGTAGAAAACGAAAGATCGATCTCTGGGCCAGATTTAATAATGCACTATAAACATGTTGCAGAAATGTACTTTGAGACCTCCTCTAAATGCAGTCATCTCCATTATTTGTTACTTTTTACACAGCTAACTAGTTATCTACCTCAGTGTTTTCAGCATTGCTGTTGTAGTTCGCAAAAAATAATAACTTTGCTGTGCTGCAAAAGAGAGACATCTCCCAAAAGCACGATGGCGCACAGAGCATCAGGTAGTTCTTCCACCTTCCCCTGCCGTCCTGCGTTTTGGAAACTTGCATGCTGGTGCTGTTTACCTGCAGCACATGGAACATCTGCAGTTTGGCCCCAAAAATCGATTCTGATGTTGCAGATCAATGCAGCTAAATTGCAGTCTGAATATTTGATTCATCCCATGATGCATATTTATACCCTTACATCAAAATTATCTCGTAGTTTTTGTTTTTCCTATGATTTGCCTAAAGCATATAAGCTGTGTCACTCTGTATGTGACATGGTTTAAACTTCTCTCACATCCATGCTTACATACAGATGTATAAGCTCTGCAAAGCTCCTTACAAACTGTGAAATGTGTGTAAGTAAACGATTATGGCCCCTGTTTACACTTGGTTTTATGTGTCTTGGGCAGTTGGATCACAACTGGGCAACCAAGATGCATCGACATTTACACCTTTATCTATCTATCTCTCTCTCTCTATCTATCTATCTATCTATCTATCTATCTATCTATCTATCTCTCTATCTTGTTTCTCCAAGGTGTCCAGCTGACCACTTGTGTTCAGGTTTCGCTTCTGCCTAAGTCACTTCTGCTAGACTGTCAGATGGGCCCCGCACTCATTGTGACGTCCTTCTTGGGGATGTATGCAGACGTTCACAGTACAAAAGATGCTTGGTCAAATGTGTCCCACACCACCTCAGCAAGTGGTTAGAGTGATCGGATCACAGCGTGTCTTGGTGGTCGTTTACCTTTCTATACAGCATTGTCCACTCGTGATCCCATCGCTCAAGATGTATTTGTGTAAACGGGGCCTGTCAGTATCACGTCTAATGAGGGCCTGATGACCCTTAACTTGTCCAGAGCTGGCACAGAATTTTCAAGGTGTCATTTAGCAAATTGTTTAACTACCAATATGTAAGTGAAAATTCACTCTGCCTTGGGAAATTATTTTTTTTGTTGTATATTCTCTATTTTGAAAGATCTACTGAAGAATATGACCACTGCTGGAGGTAAAGTTTTATAAGGAGTTTTATAATGATTAATAGAAAAAGAACAGTTAATGTAATGTATAATGTTGGCTGTTGACTGTAAAGCACAAGAATGCTTGTTAAAATGTACACCTTAAATGGTTGCAGTGCAGCCCATTAAGATGTATAATAAAGCATTTCTCTGTGTGTGTATTATAATGCTTTTTACGAGATGCCTTTGTTTGAAGAAATTCTGTTGATGGGTTTTTGTTTTTATTTGTAGAAAAACACCCCAGATGGCGACATTCATCTGAGCTGCCACTCTTGTCACAATATGTTTAATGGAAAGCCAGAAATATTAGATTGGCAGGTAATGCTGTTTCTGTGTTGATTTGTGAATATGCTGTTTGAAACCACGGTGCACTACCTGCCACATGGTGGCCAGTAAGTCTGATTCAGCTACTTTGTTAGGTATTAATCAAGTGGCTACAACAGTTGCTTTTTAAAGCAGACACAAATTGAAGATTGTATTTCTTTTAAAACACTTCTAGAGTGCTATGTTTTGCAGATTTGCTTCTTAACTACTTCTGACTGGAAGTCTGGTTCAGGGATGATTTGAGTCTTTCTGAATGATAAGAGACTAAACCCATTATGACAATCTGTTGATGTATATAATATTTTTTATTTTAAAAAAAGTCATGTAATTCCAGTTACATACTATTGTAATAATTCTTTTTGACACAGACGAAATGCTAATTTTGCATTGTACGGTATCCCAAAATGGCATCAGTGAGGTTATTACTCTTTCACAAAGTAACTAATGGCTTGTGAACATGTGTTGCCATGGCAACTAGGTAAATTTTGTCACTATCCAATTATAGTGTACTAATTAGCTGCTACTTTGGGTTGGATGGTAAATGACAGATGAAATTTGCTTTACTGAACTGAAATGCAAATGTTTGTGCTTTTCCACTGCACTTCATCAATATAATTGATTTTTTAAGTACTATTTTTTTTTTTTAAACTTTCATTGTTTTCTGATTTTGTAACTTTTTTTGAGACACCGATGGCATTGTTTCAGAGGCAGGCTGATTGTATAATCGATTAACAGTGAACACATTTGCAAGTCTGACTCTGAAGTACAGATGTACCAAAAAAGTACCTCAAGTGTTTTGGTATTTTTAGAACTGGTACTGAACCAGAAGTCAATGGAAAAGGGAAAGTACTGATTTTTATTTTTTAAGTAACTAAAGCATGATACCTGGTGCAGAGGAAACATTTCTGTGACTTTAACACTTGTGGCGAGCACTTGTATAATAGAAATGCGACCAAGTAATAGATCCACTTGGAAGGAGTGAAATATTTTTGAGTCTTAGGCTTGTCAACTTGTTAAATGATGTGTTGTGGCTTTATTTTGGTTGAAGGACTCAATCTTCCAGTTCTGCTGTAAGGAATGCTGCGAAGATTACAAACGGCTGCATGGGGTGGTGTCTGTCTGTGAGCACTGCAAGCAGGAGAAGCTTCTCTATGAGAAGATCAAGTTCTCCGGTGTAGAGAAGAATTTCTGCAGTGAAGGTCGGTGTGTTTTACGGCATTAAGTACTCGATCATCAGTTCAGTTCTGTTAGGAAAATAAGGGGTTCTATTAAAAGCTACAATTAAAACCTTCATGCACTGCATGTTGGGTTGTCCATGTAATATTGGTATGTTTGTGTTCCCTAATCCATTGACTTTTTTTCCCTAAAGGCTGTATCTTGCTGTACAAACAAGACTTCACCAAAAACTTGGGCCTGTGCTGCATTACCTGCACGTACTGCTCTCAGACCTGCACTAGAGCAGTTACTGAAGAGATGGACGGCAACACATGGGACTTCTGCAGTGAGGACTGCAAGAGCAAGTACCTGCTGTGGTACCTAAAGGTATGCTGGGTGCGCCAATGGGAACAGTGGTGTAGAGCTGTCCTGAATTCCTGAGAAGAGTATAATTGATTCTTAATCCCCAGTATCACACCATGGTGTGCTTCTTTACTCTTTTTGAAGTTTAATTAAGATTTATTTTTTTCTGTAATTAGACATCGGTTTCTTGGATATCTCTTGCAATTTGACATTTTTAACTATATTCAGTAGATGGAGAGAAATGTACTTGCTTTGAATATGATGTATCAAAATAAGTCGAGTGTTTTGTTTCTGGTCTTGTATACAGGGCATGTTAATTCTCTGCTCTGTACAGGTAGCAAGATGCCACGCCTGCAAGAGACAAGGGAAACTTCTAGAAACCATCCATTGGCGGGGGGAGATCAAGCACTATTGTGACCAGAAGTGTCTCCTGCGGTTCTACAGCCAGCAGAACCAACCCAACCTAGACACCCAGCAGGGCCCAGAGAGCCTGCTCAACAGTACGTTAGTCATTGCACCCGTTTGATCCAGCTGTCACCCTTTTATTGCCTTATGAAATGTCCAACTCCTCACTGCAGACTGCACACTTGATGTGACCCCAATTCATGCAAAGTTTCGGATAAACTCTGTCATGGGCTTTGGTCACGTTCCAGCTTAGAAGATTAAAAGTTCTTGTTGAGCTTTTCGTCTTTGTTGAATTGTTAAAATGTGTGCCTTGTGCACATTTTTTTTCCACTGCATATATATATTGAGGAAAACCTCTGCAGTAAATTTCTCTGGAACAGCCTTCAATGCTTTCTCAGTATCACAGAACATTTTAAAGTCCCTCCGGGTTTGTAAAGTGCTCACATGTGTTATCGTCTCTCTAATTGGCTGTTAATTCTGTTCATTTTCTGGTGTTTCAGGTCAGTCCCCAGAATCCAAGTCACCCCCTGCTGCGGTGAAGAAAAGTGAAGTGAGTTTTCATTTTTTATTGAACTTTTGTCTTATAAACTCCCAAATTGATTGACTTTTGGTGATATGCTTACTCTGCAGATTAGACGTTTTAGACTTATTGTAAAGATCATATATATTAAATATTTGTATAACTTTACCAACTCTAAAATGGTAATTTTGCATCGATGCTGAACTCTGAGACCTAGTAAAATGAGCAAAATATCACTGTTTAACTATTTTCAAGTACTGCAGTTGTTGTAAACACTGGTCTAGGGAACTTTTTACATGTGAATAGAACTTTCATGCATTGCAAAATTCTAACGTAACTGCTGTTATATATTTTTGTGGGGAGAAAAAAATCATTAAATGTTAAAACTGAATTTTAACAAGGATATTGAAATATTCTTTGAATTTATTATTTTTTTGATTCAAGCTTAATTAGCATTAATCAGATTTTACATTTCCTTTAAACAATTTATTGATGTTGGCAAACTTACACAACATAAAAACTGTCTGGCCCATGTTAAAAAAAGAATAACCCCTTAAGTTTTTAATCTGAAAGGCCTGTATGTGTCACATGAGGGGAAGGTGTTCAGGCTGTGGATGCGAGATGCTGACGAGCAGGTTTCCGTTCGTTTGTAGCCCACAGGGAGACGGCACATAGCCCAGCCCCCTCCTCCGCCTTCCTCACCCCCTCCTGCCGCGACTCCGCTTAACAAAAACAAGGCTTCCTTATGCCGGCCCATGATGGAGGACCAGGCCACGACCTGCAGTCCGGAAGTAAAGTCACAGGGCTGCCAGACGGGTAACTTCCCGGTGCTATAATTAAATCAGCTTCTCTATCAGTTTATGTTACCAAACTCCAGTAGCTTCTGTGAACTTTTCCCGCTGTTTATTTAAGGTGGAAGTGCCGTAGCTCTTCTTGCCTGTGACTTTTGTCCCTTGCTCTGTTTCAGATGACATACCAATGGCTCCACCTTTTGTGCTGCCGATTCCCATGCCGGTCTACATCCCGCTTCCACTGCACATGTACTGTCGCTATGTCCCAGTGCCCCTCACACTGCCTCTACCGGTAAGACACACACAGACAGACACACACACACACACACACACACACATATAGTCTGTCCCTGCTTTTTCAAAAATGTACATCGCTTTGGACAAAAACATCTCTGAATAAAACCTTAATGTAAATGTTGCATCAGATTAACGGTCTCAGAAATGGATTTTGTCTTGTTTTTCTTAGAAAAATATTTTCTCTTGCTGTGGAAGTAAAAAAAATTGTAATATTGTGCCTTGATTGTTTGAAAACCAGAAACAGAACATTTATCTGAAACATTTTATCTCTTTATATTTAAGGATATTTCTACTGAAGCAATTCCAATTTTAAGTGATATTTAAGTTCAGTCCTCCAGATTCTATAGATTTACTAGCTTCCATATATCTCTCCTTAGAATGTCGTTCTTGATACAAAGAGCCTGCAAAATTAACAGAATTAGCAAGGAAATGCAATGAATTAGTGTTTCACTTCCGACTTCTCTTGTTGATTGCGTGCAAATTATTCTCGTTAGAATTATAAAACAAGCATTGTTATACAAGAGTATAATCAGCATTTCTGAAAACGGGTGTTTTTCATGTAAAATTAGATTTTTTTCTAAATTAATCAAAAGCTTTGACATATGACTTATTTTCCCCCCAGTTGCCGTGTTGTAGGGGATATTAGTGATATTCTCTGGTATTCTCTGGTATTCTCTGATATTCTCTGGTATTCTCTGATATTCTCTGATGTCATACAGTGATAATTTCGTCTCTCGTCTCTGCTGCCTCAGGTTCCTGTGCCCATGTTTTTCCCCACTACACTTGAAAATGCAGATAAGATAGTGGAGGCCATGGAGGAGATCAAAGTGAAGATCCCATCTAACCCACTGGAGGCTGACATCCTGGCCATGGCTGAGATGATCGCTGAGGCCTCAGAAATGGGCAAAGCCTCCTCAGATCTCTGTGGTAATGGTTCAGTCTCAACCACAGTCAATTAAATTTTGGAAGTATTTTAAGTGCTTAATGCTTGTATTTATTTGTTTATGTGCTGATTTATATTTAGATTTGGTCGGTAACCCGAGTGCAGAGAGCTTGCTGGAGGACTGTGATCTGTTTGGCCCAACCAGAGATGATGTGCTATCCATGGCTGTTAAGATGGCCAATGTTTTAGATGAACCAGGTCCAGACTTGAGAGAAGATCTTCCTAAAGGTTAGATTGAAAATAAAAAGATGATATCATAGCAAAACATTTTTTATGGCATTGAATACCTTAAAAGAAAATGGTCCCTGAATAATACCAGAAAAAAATTATTTTAATTATGACTTAAAATTAACATTAATGTGACTTAAATGTTAAAATGTCCTGCTATGCTAAAATAATTAATACACCACTGATTGTCAGAGTTCCAGTTTGTGTTTTTGGTCTTTAATGGATTAGTATTGTTTTTAATTATATTAAGGTCTTTAAATCTTAAAGGTAACTAAAACTATAGCTGTAACTGCAGAAACTAGTAACCTTGACGGTAAGAGAGACACTCGGAACACATTATGGGGTGTCCCTGCGTAGTACCAGCCAGGATGCCCTTGTATCTCCGGATTCGCTTGAAGGGTTGGTGGAGTGTGTTCAGAGATGTTTGTCTGCCCATCACAGTTGTATGGATGGATCTGTGATCTTTTTCACTTGTGCCCTTCCTGTTAGAATGGGCAGACTCATTAAAGCTTTCTTCTAGCGAATAAGGTAGAGAAGTGTCGTTGACTGGATAGTTTTTGTTCATCACTGGAAACATAATATCGACACTAGTGTGTGAAAATCCCAGGAGGGCAGCTGTGTGTGAGATGATGGAGCCTCCACACCTGGCACCAACAATCACACCACATTTAAAATCAAGCTCTTACTTGTTGTGCTTCGCCACAGTGTAACTGAATGACTGACCCTGTCTGCATGCTATATATATTCAGTCAGCATTTGAAGGAGCTTGGCTGTTTTGCTTTAAGGAACAGGTGGACCTAATTAAAAGGCTACTGAGTATGTTGTAAGGACCTATCTGATTTAAAAAAGAAATCCATAAAATTCAAGGACTAATTGTATCTGGATAATGATCTATATCTGTTTATAAACATTAAATAATATTAATGGAATACAGTTGTTTACTTTTGCTGACAACGGCATTTACTGTCCGGCCGGTTAGTTGTCATGTGGTGTATAGCACAAAGAAAGTTACGTAAGTAATCATCATTAAGTGACCAATGTAAACGTTTCCTTGACTTGTGTTCTCCTCTAGATCTAAACCCCAGCGTTGAGTTTCTTATTGACTGTGGAATTGTCAGCCCAGACAGCGTTTGTGTAAAAAACGAGCTTCCGGTGGCTGTGAAAAAGGTATTTGCTTCCTAGTAGAGCTTCTTGCAAATAAATTTTAGCATTAAAAGTTATGGTACTAATAAGATGTGCTGCTGGATGATTCCTGTGTGTGTTACAGGGCTCAAAGCAGCTCGGCTTGTCTGAGAGCTGTTCCAAGGACGCCCCAGGCGCTCAAGCCACCAGGACACGGTTAAATCACACATATGGTGTCAACGCCTGGAAGGTTTGGGCTCAAAGTAAGAACCATGCGACAGAGGAGAGAAAAAGTGAGCAACTCTGGCTGTGAAGAATCTGCCTAAGTGGTACGACTGGAGCACAGTGTAGTAACGAAGTGGTTGCTCTCTTCATTCTAGAGAAGCGTTCTAAAGTAAAAGAGGACATTCTGTCTTGCACGGCTGCTGAGCTGAATTATGGATTGGCACAGTTTGTCAGAGAAATTGCCAGTCCTGGTGGAGAATACTACGAGCCAGACAGTGTCTACTACCTGTGTCTTGGAATTCAGCAGGTTCGTTTCAATGACGTGGATTTCTCGTGTCAATGACGTGTGGATTTCACTTGATCTCAGTTATCATTTGTGTGTTGATGTGACATTAAAATCACATTCATTTAACGGTTAACAGGTTATGGACGTGTTTAACAATGCTAATACTTTTATTTTTCCGTGTGTTTGTAGTATCTTCTAGAAAATCACAGAATGGTGAACATCTTCACAGACCAGTACTATGCGAACTTTGTTCAAGAACTGAATAAGATACTGAGCAAGTGGAAGCCGGAAATATCTCCAGAGGGTATGAAAAATGCTAGCTCACCTTTAGAGCGAGGGGAGAACACAAATATACGCTATATTATTATATTATATATATTAGCTGCTGCTTGTGCTGAAATAGCTCCTAATCTTAATTATTTTGAATCAGCTTTGTGTGTGTGGTTCTGGTTCAGAAACGGTGTGATGAAGCTGTGTTGTTTAGCCCATGTCTAAACGTTAGTGTCTTCTGTAGGTTTGGCCCGCTCGGACGTGGAGGAGGAGCACTTGTGGGACTGTAAGCAGCTGGGCGTGTACTCACCCTCCGTTTTACTGAACACCCTAATGTACTTCAACACCAAGTACTTCGGCCTGAGGACTGTGGAGCAGCACATGGAGCTGTCCTTCACCAACGTGGCTCGACAGTCCCGCTCGGTCTCTGTGTCGCAAGGCGCCATCAAGGTACACAGCGTCTGCTACTACCCCAGCTGGCGGCACCGAAAGACCAAAGGTGAGGCGTCGGCTCTTTCTCCGTGTGCGTACTTCACCATACTAGTGTTCTTGTGTTACCCGTTTTATGTCGTCTTCTGTTGCTGAAGACCAGTTCCAATACACCAGAACAAAAGTACAGAGGATGGTAAAAAAATCCCCTGATCTTCGCCCCCACATATCAAGGATTCATTAGCTGCATCCTCATAAAGTTAGACCAATCCCATAATTCATTGTACCCCAAGTGCATTCTTTGGATTCAAGTTAGACCAATCCCATAATTCATTGTGCCCCAAGTGCGTTCTTTGGATTCAAGTTAGACCAATCCCATAATTCATTGTGCCCCAAGTGCGTTCTTTGGATTCAAGTTAGACCA